ATTGCTTGCTTGTTTACGTACGCAATTTTGTAATCGAATGAGAGTTTTTAACGAAAACCTTAAACCTATGGCTTTTCCGAACACATCATAACGAATTTCGACGAAGAGTACACGTTCACGTATGGCGTAATGCCCTAAACCGAAATTTACGTGACGAGTTATACGTTTACGGAACGCTCGATTCGATGACTGAAAGGTAGAATTCAACGTGAAAAAAACACATTGAAGCCATTAATAAGCACCCTGTATTTACATGTATTAAACTTACGTTAAATATTGTATATGTACATATGTACGGGTATGCAGAATTTCATTGTTTTGTTAGGCATTTTAACCGTTTCAATTAAGCTTACGTGTCATAATTAATAATAATTGTGTTCGTTAGGCTAAATGTTGCTATTTAGAGCATTGTTGTTAGGACCCAGCGCAACAGCAATTAACCGAAGTTGCACTTGAATCATCACGTAAAAGAGCTTGAGCGCCCATTATGCTGTGTCTTTTTTTCCAGTGCTTTGAAGGTGAAAGACTTTGTTTGATTGCTGATGGCGTTTGACCACGTGCAAGTTGATGAAGTATAAGCAAATATCTGTGTTTGGCGCGAATTTATTATATTTATTTTTGTTTTTATTTTATTTTATTTATTTATTTTTTTTTTAATTTAATTTTTTCAGTTATTATTATTATCATATTTTTTTGTTGTTATTTGCTGTTATTATTCAACTACAAATTGAACTACAAATTGCTACTTTTCATATTTTGTCTATTGCTTTTTTAACAACTACTTTTCGTGGAAAAGTAAATATTACTGTTACTTTTTGACATGAGCAAACGATATTGACCTCTCTTATTTGAAAATTGTACAATATTTATATAAATACATATAGATAGATACCATTATTGTAAGTGCACAGAGAATTGATGTGCACTTAAGCGGCATATATAATTCGTATGTATGTACATATTTTGGCTTAATAATACCGTGATACAATTCAATGTCAAATCCACAATAAAAATGTAGATCAATGTTAAGTACTGGCATATGCATATACATACATATATGTCATGTCATTGTGTACTGAAGTGCGTGAAAATAAAAGCCAAAATTGATATATTTTTAACTGTAACTAAATGGATCTTTTCAACGGTATGTGATTGAGACAACGGCATAAATAACAGTTTGAACTACCAAACATCCATTTATGGGAAGTGAGTATGTAAATATATCGTGGAGTTAGTAAAAACAAGAAAAAAGAGCTGCATTCAACCACGCTGAAGTATTTCAAGCCTATGGTATTTTTTAGGCTTAAATATTAATTCTCATAACTGAAAGATTAGTTGGGGGGTGTCAAATCATGAAGCCTTCCAATTTCGTTTATTTTCGATGATAATGATCATTTGTAGCGACGTCTGAATCATACCGAATTTCACGCTTTTAAACACTTTTTTTGGATGGAATTTTAACCCAAAACCTCACTTCTGAAAAACCAGTTTAATATATGCTCTAAGGATCAGTTCTGGCCGGTTTTCAAAAATTATCGGACCTAGCTAAATTAACTCAACTCATCATTCTGTCCCAATCTCTTCCTGGTTCTAACATAGTGGTCAAGTAAAAAGTTCGTTCGGTTGGCGTTTTTGTCCATAGTACAAGTGTTACGTGTCACATGTCATGTCATACTTTACGACGCTGAAAACATCTTTATTCGCGCTAAAAGTTTGTCTTTGACAGTTTTTCGATTGATTTACTCAGTACGTTGTGAACGCCGTCGTCAAAGATGGACATCAGCAAAGAGAAAATTCGCTATATTTTACAATTTTTCTTCGATCAAGGCGAAAAAGTAGCCAAAGCAGCTGAAAAAATAATTTAGTTCATGGCCCCGATACTGCAAATGAACGTGTAGCACAAAAGTGGTTTGCTAGGTTCCGTTCCGGTAATTTCGATGTCAAAGATGCAGCACGCCTGTCGTCGAAAGATAAAGATAAGCCAGAAAACTGTGTGGAACCATTTGCATAACCTTGGATTCAAAAAGAAGCTTAATGTTTGGGTGCCACACGAACTAACGCAAATAAACATGATGGACCGAATTTCCATCTGCGAATCGCTGCTGAATCGAAAAATAGGTCACTTGCGACAACATCGAGTGCGGTGGCCAAGACTGCATTGACGGTCAGGAAGGTTTTGCTATGTGTTTGGTGGGATTGGCAAGCTGCTCCTCTATTGCCAAACGCTCAATTCGGCCTTCTAATGTGAACAAATCGACCGTTTGAAGGCAGCACTCATCAATCTTTGATCAACAGAGTCCGAATTGTTTTCCATCAGGACAACGCCAGGCCACACACGTCGTTGGTGACGCGCCAGAAGCTCCAGGAGCTCGGATGGGAAGTCTTAATGCACCCTTCTTATAGTCCGGACTTGGCACCAAGTGATTACCATCTTTTCCTGTTCATGGCAATGGTGAAAATTGGCTCTCCGAATTTTTTTGCCAATAGGGACGCTGATATGAGAGCTAAAAAATTAATTTATATTTCAATTAATGAGAATCAGTGGCATCCGGTAGGGACAAGTTCCAAGTAACACATTCATGGGAGCCACTCGGTTATTGTTCATCATTTCAATATAAAACAGTTGAAATAAGTAATTGACCCTTTATAGGTCCCTGAAGCAAATTTCGGCAGATTTTTCTCCTACATATAAAGGAATCGACAGTTTGGAAGCGTCTCTTTTATTTTCCTGATTAGAATGACTATGTACCGATTTACTCATTATTAAACTTTTCAATATTGATCTGTCTATGGTTTGTACTCGCTGGCACTGCCTTTTATTCGTACATATGCACAAACTCTGCTACAGGCTTGAACATTTTTAAACTTAAAAAGTCTCTCTTTTTGACTGCCTGAAGTTCTATGATATTTTCACTTCGTATTCGAGTCGGTCAAGAACTTAGACGCAGCTAAGTCAAAGAGAATTCAAATAACTCCGGTCGCACAAAAATGAAGGTAGTATCACTTCACTCAAGAAAACATTGTCAAAAACTCATTAGCTCTAAAATATTAATAAATAATTGGCGCTTTGCAGCCGCTGAAGCGATTTTCGGCCGAGCTGCTCCTCTAATTTGTGATTTTTGCGTCTTGATGCTTTTCCAACAAATGGAGGGACCTACAGTTTATACTAAGCCACCTCCGAACGGCTGTTGGTTTTTTATTTCATATCAGAAATACACTCGGAGGGGTTGCCATTCGCATTGATACCAATAACCAAAGTAGCTTCTTACTATTTGACTACAACTCTGTGTTCCAAGCAAAGATTGTCAAACGGGCATCCGCTTTAATCCATCGGGGTTTTGGTAGACCAGAATATTACCGGTTACACGGAAGATGAAGATAATGGAATGGCGAACGAGCTAGTCTTCGACAGTCTCACACCTTCAAATATTGTCTAAGGTAGTGGACCATAGAAAAATACTTCAACCGTAGGATATACCACTAAAATATTGCAGGTTGGTGAGAATCGCAGACAGACCAAACTGTTGCATTCATTAAGCAAACGAGAACTTAGGTTGCATTAAAAGGGCATCCGTCCCTGAAACCTCGACTGAGTACAGCGCATAACAGTATGAGGTACAGAAGGTGACGAGTCGCTGGAATACTACCTTAGTCAGTGCCCAGCCTTGAGCCAATTGAGATGCCATATCTTTGACGATGTGCTCAACTACAGCCTCATGGAGAGTTGGTTGAAAAGGTTGCTGGGCATCAGCTCATTTAGGCCGCAGAACGGGTCAAGTCGGCGTGAGGAAACTCAAGGTACTTCCACAAAGCGCAGATTATTCGCAGAGGAAATGCCTTAAGGTGCCGTGTTCCCTTTCTTGCCTGGAACTTTTGCACAAGACATTAGATAATACGCCCAACCACTGTTCGTACCTCAACAAACTCCTTATTATGAGACTTCTTTATATTGAGTTAGAATTATTGAAGAATAACTCTCCAATAGTGAGCTTACAAGTTTAGAGCGGCATGCACAAAGTCTTCCGTTATGGAAAAAGCAGAAGGGAGGTGCCGTTTTATTTAGTTTTAAACTATCCGTAAAAGAAAATTAATCGAAGGAAAAGACCGTCGGTTTAAGCATGAATCAGCCTAAGTCCAATTTCCCGAGCATACTTTTAGGCTTTAGTTTTTGCTTCCTGTTATTTGAGGTGGTACTTATGTATATGTGCAATTCTCAGTTGAACAGTGAAGCGATAATCTTATAGGGTCAATTAGATGCTAAAAACAGGGTGACCTTTACATACTCGAAGTGCATTGTTGCATGCTTGAGTGCTTCCCAGCACCAGGAAAACCAAAAATTCCACGTAGCACCACTCGATCCACAAATTTAGAGAGCCAAAGCGCTTAAAAATATTTGACAACAAATGAAATGGTCACTCCGCACCATCTCACCCGGAGCTCACCTCTCAGCTCCACGCAATAAATACGTAGTGTGTAAATAGGAATGGTCACCGCGCATCACCTCTCCATTTTTCCTACGGAGCTCACCCACGAACTGCAGTAAAAGCGAAAAGGATCTATGAATGAGTTCCAAAGTATTATTTAACATCACTTTTCCTACTCCTTGACATCCTCTTCCTCCTAAAACCCAAAGCTTAGACACGGACAATTATTAGACCTTTCCATACTTTTTATGCAAAAGTGTGTATGTATGTAACAAGGAGAGAAAGCCATTTCGTGGTTGATTACTCACTTTCACACTTTTTATTTCACTTTATATATATAATATTTCAAATTAAAATCCTGCCACATATTACATTTCAGTGTAGCAAATAGCCAATCAGTTATGGTGATTTGCATTTTGTGTTTTGCAATTTTACGATTTAAGTTCTCGTTTCATCACTGCTTAGTTTCGTTTCTGAAGTCCTCTCAACATGTTCATCATAAAATATACATTATATATTTTCATAGCAGTGCTTTTGGTGCAGACATATTCACATAACATCACCCATTCACATGGGATGCATTCACTTGGGACACATGCTCATGGAACTACTCTCGAACAGGCGATAATACAGTATTTCGGACAGAAAACAAATGTCGTACATATACGTTTACAGTTGTCAGGATCCATATTTTGGAAACGTGTTGTACTACATCATTTAACAGATGCTTTGAGAAATTCTTCAAATATAACATTTCGCATTACCATCGGTGATAGATATTTAAGGGATAATAAATATTTCCAGTATAATCTGTGGTATGTGGATTCATACGAGGCGTTGAAGTAAGTACAAATGTATTTTAAGCAAATTAGATGAAAATATGCAGTTAACCTGCATTTAAATATGAATTTGGAATTTCCAGTCGGTCTCGAAAAAATATATAAATTAAGACCGGAAAGTTTCTGGAAATTATCAAACAAACTGCCCGCGCTGAATATTTTTCAGAAAGTTTTTTTTTGTTAAGTTGGTCACACTCACCTTGAGATTTGGGAACAAAAAAATAAAAAGTCGTACGGGACCAAATCCGGAAAATACGGTGGTTAATCGATGGTATTAAACGTGTGTTTGGTCTTAAAATCGTTTACAACTACAATTCAATGCAATGGCGCATATTGTCCGTTTACAACGTATGATTTTGCGCAAACACCTCAAACGAATTTATGATGAACCAAAACGCGAATAACGAAATAAAAACTAATTTCCAGAAACTTTTTGGTCTTAATGTGGTATTCAGGTATCGAATTTTGTAAGTGCATTGAAAGAGGCGGCCGCAATATCCGAGTGGTTAGCATTGTTTATTGCAATTCGGAATGCCAAGGTCCGACTACCAGTTTGACCGACATCCAAAATTAATTTTTCTAATTGCGGTCGCACCTCGGCAGGGTATGTCAGTTTCTCCGAGTATATTTCTGACGTGAAATAAAATCTCTTCATAAAAATCTGTTGACCATTCAGAGGTGACGTAGATAGAATAAACTACAGGTCCCTGGGAGGACGTTGAATGAAAAATTAGAACAGGAGCTTGGCCTAAAATCACTTCAGCGGTTATTAAGCGCCAATTATTTATATATACGCAAAATAGCTGAGATAGCTCATGTTCTGTGCAGTCGGCTCTCAGCTATTTATATATGGCAAAACATATCGTATACCCATAAACCTAGCCTAAGTACTACGTAAAAAGAAGGGTTGGGAGCCTACTAGTGCTTCACTTGAAACATATTGCGGCAACGTAACAAAAGCCTGCGTATTACTCGCGATCCATGTGATCTTTGTTCTCTTCATTTTGTTCTTAAATGACATAGCGTAACCGTCGTCAATATGTAAAGGACCATAAATGTTTCACAAAACCTTTTTCTCGGAAACTCCTAGTGTTAACTCATACCATGTTGTTATTGTCTGACCCGGGGATTATTGACCTAACCTACTCGTTCTTCACTCTGGACAAAGTAGAACTCACAGCGCAGTTGTTGAGGTTTTGAGTTTGTAGTACTCTCTACCGCCTCTTTGTGAGAAGTCAGAAAAACACTACGAAGAATTGACCTCCCAACTGCTATCGCCATAATATATCTCTATAATGAATACCAATATATATTTTACATATATAACAAATGAAGCCTGGGCTAGTGGAGGCTAGTGTTACAGGGGAATTACAATTTTTGGAAGCTAAATGGTATACAAACAACAGCTTATGTAGGGGTTTACAGGAGATATTAAGTCATGTCCGACAAATGTGCTTAACATGATCCTATATCTTTTAACTGTAGACATCTTCATTCGCAATGTTGAAGATCCCGAAAAAACTCCATCTCTTTGCGTCTACCAAATTATGCTTGCATCTTCCAAGCGAAAGCACCAGATATGAAAATGGTCTGGAAAGCTATAAGAGGACTCAGAAAACAGCTATATACACGAATAGCTAGGCTACATTACTGTGCTTCACCATTGGTGTCAATAATAACTTCAAACTTTGCCTAATGAAAATCCGTATTCATCTGTAAGACATCAAAAGAGAATTGGTCCAAATATGATATGAATAGAAAAAAGATGAGAAAAAGTCACTGGCTCTTCGGTGAACTCGAATCACGAATTGAACTACCCAATAATAGAGCCTTTGCCGTAGTTCTCTCACCTATTCATCATAGAACATCTTAAGCCCATCAAGTACCAAATCTATAGTGAAATTACATCATCACAGGAGATCGCTACCGAACGCAACTGATGCGCCTTAGTCGCGCTAAAAGAAAAACGGCCACAATGTCAAGAGCGACATGACAAAGTCATCCTCCATCACGACAATGCTCGGCCTCACGTCGCAAAAGTGGTCAAAAAGTACCTGGAAACGCTGAAATGGGAAGTCTTGCCCAAGCCGTATTCCCCAGATGTCGCTTCTTCTGACTTTCACCTATTCCGTTCGATGGCACACAGCCTGGCAGATCAACATTTTCAATCCTTCGAAGAATTGGAAAAATGGATTGCTTCATGGATAGCGTCAAAAGAGAACTCCTTTTTTCGAGCCGGGATCCGAAAATTGCCGGAAAGATGGGAGAAAGTTGTCGCTAGCCAAGGACAATACTTTGAATAATATCTGTATCTGTAAGCACTTTTTCGCAATAAATCTTTAATTTTGGAAAACACTGCGGAAGCAAAGTTGTACACCTGATAACTTCTGATAAGTTCTTAACTTTGTGAGATGAACATTATTTTGACTTTGATTCATCCCGATAGACTAGTTAAATTTTTCTTATATTGGCTTTAAGTAGTCTGACTTTCATAAAAGGTCAACTTTATACTCGTACGGTAGATTTATAATCTTCTGTTGGCTAAGCGTTCTCTTCTTTATTTCCAGCACTATTTTACCCTACAAAAAGAAACATTTCGGCAGCAAGCCCAGCGTTTATGCAATTATCATGGAAAAGTTCGGCATCAAAAATAACATCTCGCATATCCAAGAGATTTTGGAAAAAATGTTTGCACTTAACATAATCGATGTAATCGTTGTGGTACGTAATCGAAATGGCAAGGGGTTTCTGGTGTACTCCTTCGAACCTTTTGCCGAAAACCACTGTCGCATAGTGAAACCAGTGATTGTTAATCAATTTATCGCTGGACATTTCGCTCAGTCAGAGCTGTTTCCCAACAAGCTGAGAGATCTACACAACTGCAGCATACGCGTTTCATCCCGGAATGTTTCGCTATACTTCTCATACCACAAGCAAATTACTGACGGTGCCATTGCAATGACGGGTCTGGAAGTGCAATTATTGAAAACCATCGCCGAGTATTTGAATTTCAGCATAGAGCTAGTTCTTGAAGAGTCACATATTTACGGCGATATCTATACGAATGGCACTATGAGTGGTCCTTACAGGCTTCTGGATGAAAATCATGTTGATATTCTTATGGGTTTCTTCTTTTACGATGCGACTGGTATTGCCTTTTTTGAGCAGAGTCTGTCGTACTTTCTCTCTGCTTTGGTTGTCATTGTGAAACGACGTGTACCGCTGTCCAAAAATGACTGGATATTGGAGCCTTTTCAATTAGACACCTGGCTGTTGTTACTGGCTTTAGTTGGCCTCAGCATTACTTTCATTTATATCGCACATTTACGCTACAATACCGGCAATTGGTTGGACATTATTGGCAGCATTTTCGGTGAGCCAAGAATGGTTAAGACTAAAAACTATTTGGTACGCTTCAGTATTGCGCTCTGGTTTGCCGGTTTCGTATTCCTAAGCGGCATATATCAAGCGAAATTATTCGACTCATATAATAAACCGACCTGCGGGGCACCGCATACCATAACCGACTTACTGAATGACAACTTCACGCTCTTGGTGGGTCATTACTGGGGTTTGCAGTATTTGGTGTCTGATCTTAAATTCCCGGAGAGTCGTATAGAGTTTATCAACTCAACGGATATTGATACTCTCTTGGAGACTTTGTTGAATTCCAGTGGTAACGTGGCAAGCCTGGCGACTGTTGCGCGTATTCGTTACTTCGAGCATCAACATCAATTGGATGAGGTTTTTGATCAAGTCTCTGAAACGGTGCAGCTATCAGAGATCTGTGCTTACTTTCAACATCATTCGTACTTGGCTGTGCCTTTCAACAAGCTCATTTCGACTATACGCAGTAGTGGCTTGATTTCAAAATGGTATGACAACGAAATGACGGAATCTAGAGAGAAGGTGAAGAAACCACAAGCTGGTGCTTTCAAACGTTTGGATATGCGCAAATTGACTATTGTTTTCATTTTACTTATTTGTGGAGAGTTTATTGCTTTTATTGTATTTGTCGCTGAAATATTAATTGTACTAAAGAGGTACGGAAAATATTGATTCTTAACTATCTATTAGCAAGCTTAATTAAATGTTAGTTGTTGTAATTTATTGCAGAATAAATAAATGCTATTAGCGCCCGAGTTGATCGCTATATCTCTCTCTCTCTTCCTCTCTCTCCTCTTTCTCTCTCTCTCTTTTCACTCTCTCTGTCTTCTCCCCCTTTCTCTTTTACACTCTCCTTCCTCTCTCTATCTTTTTCTCCCTCCTCTTCCCCTCTCTCTTTTCACTCTCTCTCTCTGTCTTCTCCCTCTTTCTCTTTTACACTCTACCTATATCCCTCCTTCCTCTCTCTATCTTTTTCTCCCTTCTCTTCCCCTCTCTCTTTTCACTCTCTCTCTCTCTGTCTTCTCCCTCTTTCTCTCTTTTCCTCTCCCTCCTCTTCCTATCTCTCTTTACGCTCTCTCTCTCTGTCTTTCTCTTTTACACTCTACATCTCCTTCCTCTCTCTATCTTTTTCTCCCTGTCATCATCATCTTTAACGCTAAACTAAAAAATTTAAAAAGTTGCTTGGATTTTAAAGTAAGAATTTGAGGTTCATCTTATAGAGGGTGGACCATCTACCGTTGACTTTTTGCACTACGACTTCTTTAAGCTGATATCTTCAATGACATTCCAAATGTGTGAAATAGACAGGTAAAAGGTTTGCGGCGCAGGCACCGCTCACGTGATTATAGCTGACAATTTGGAGCCAGCTGGATAAGACAAGATCCATCCATCTGATTCTTCCAATGAAGACTCCCAGGGCTAGGACTTATCGGATGTTGACATCATTCTGCACTATATATATAGCAGGGGGGGAATGATAAGTGACGTGTAGAGTTTGATATTTGGGCTTTACTTTTCAATTGCCTACTCAGTCCAAAGTACCAGCTGTTGGTGAGAGGGAGTCTGTGCGTGAGTTCAAGGCTAACATTACTGTTGATGTCCCTGAATAGATGAAATTATCTACCTCGCAGGATCTGACTGCCAACAGTGACGTGGGAGTAAAGACGCAAGTAGGCTGACTTTTTATTTCATGACACAAGATATTTCGTCTTGTTCTCGCCCACTACCAGACCCCTTCGCTTCGCTTCATTATAAATTTCTTTATAAAAGAGTCGGCCTCTTTGAGACCTCATTTGTGTTTCTTATTGTCGATGGAAGTTGATGTGTAACGACTTTTTTACGGGTCTTTCCCAAGATTTGGCGCTCGGTGAAAATGTGGATTTACCAGGTCTAATGTTACACTATAAGGTCCAATTGGAGCTTTAAATTTGAAGCATCCGCCTTTCAAAGTAAGTTGAGGGAACGTTAGTCAAACTATTTTAGAACATGCCGAATCACCCCCGCGAGTAAGAGGTTCAAGAATTTACCCGCGGTAAGGCATACCTGTCGTAAGAGGCGATTAAAATCCAATAGTTCCTGCGACAGTCCGGTGTTTATACCGGAACGACCCGGATTTTTTTTATCTGGCTAAGAACTGTCACTCCCGCAACATTCCCCAAAAACTACTTTGCGGTTACAACAATAACATGATAAGGCTACCCTTAACAGCAATTCTTATACTAAGCACAGTTTCAAGTTTTCAATGGTCTCACTGCTACAATAGCCCTCTCCGGAGAACGTTGAAAAGTAAGAATTTTTACCAAATTTCGCTGGACCGTGTCACTACATTTCGTTACCAGCTAGTTCTTACTGACATTTCCTACCAAACGGTGCTAATCGCAATATTAGAACGACAATCGCCAACTTCATTTTAGCAATTGGCAATGCAACTGAACTTTGATTGCTACAGATAATCCGGCATTAACATTTATTTTTATTCGGATTCTTTTACGATTTCTTTCGCACCAATCTAGATATATATATTTTGTATATGCATGTATATATATATTTTGTAATTAAACATATTGATTAACTTTTTCACAATAACAGCTGGAAGCTTGCCTCATTTTGCATTCCGTTGTTGTTGCAAATAGTCAATCAGTTACGGTGATTTGCATTTTCCAATTTGTTATTGTGGTAGCAAGAGTTTTGAATTTTACAAGAAAAATAATACCCTGTAAGAACGGGCAGATGGTTTCACCAACACATTCACAAACTTTTTCGGGCAGCACTAACACATACATATGCATATATATATTTTTTTTATTTATCTTTCTTTTCTGAGTACATACAAATTAAAGATAACAGATGTTTTCATCGTCCATGCTTCCGCACCATATAGCAGAACGAGAACGACGAACGACTTATAGAGTTTGGTTTTCGTTCGCCGGGAGAGGACTTTACTTTTCATTTGCCTACTCAGTCCAAAGTAGCACGTGTTGGCAAAAGTGATTCTGCGTTGGATTGCAAGGCTGACATTGTTGTTGGTGCTAATACTGGTTCCTAAATAGACGAATTTATCTACAACTTCAAAATTATGACTGTCAACAGTGACGTGGAAGCCAAGTCGCGAATGCGATGACTGTTTGTTTGATGACAGGAGTTATTTCGTCTTGCCCTCATTCACTACCAGACCCATTCGCTTCGCTTCTTTATCAAGTCTGGAGAAAGCAAAGCAGAACTCACGTTGCCGTTGTTGAAGCCAATAATGTCAATATCATCGACGTACGTCAGTAGTTGTACACTCTTATAGAAGATTGTAACCCTCTATTCAGCTATGCAGCTCTTATAATTCTCCCCAGTCTGAAACCTCGTTTGGTATCAAACGGCTCGAAGAGGTCCTCCGCGATCCTGACGGAGCTTTTGGTGTTGTTCAAGGTCGGTTTACACAGCCATATAAGTCTTGCGTTGATACCAAACTCAGACATTGCGGCGTAAAGGCAGCTCTTATTCGTGCTATCGAAGACGGCTTTAAAACCAACTAAGAGTTGGTGAGTGTCAATCCTCTTTTCACGGGTCTTTTCCAAGATTGGGCGCAAGGTGAATATCTGGTCTTATGTAACATCAGTGTTATTATTTTTTGCTAAACCCATTTGAAACGTGAGTCACAAATTCAAGCAAATTAGTTGCGTTAGATTCTTCTTTGCAAAACCCATGCCGGGAATTGGAAATTAATGGAAATTTGGAAAATGTTAGTTGGGTAGTAATTATTTTTTTGATAACAAGGGAAAAATACTTTGTTTTAAGGATGCATTAAAGAGATTCGATAAAGGCTGGTAAAAGTTTTCTGCCCAATATTTAAGGAAGCAGCCGCGGTAGCCTGACATCCAAAAAAGTTATAGAAAACTATTTTGTCGCACCTTGGTAGGGAATGTCAACCCCTCCGAGTATATTTTTCAGATGAAGCCAAAAGCCGTTCGGAGGTGGCTTAGTACGAAGTCTAGGTCCCTCCATTTGTTTGGAAAACATCAAGACGCAAGACCACAAATTGGAGGAGGAGTTCGGTTGAAAATAACTTTAGCGGTTACAAAGCGCCAATCTTAAAGGAATATAATCAAAAGTAACTCCATTATTTTTACATGAACTCGATAACATTATTTTCATATTTAGAATTATCCGATTTATGTCAAATATGTCATTAAACCCTTGAGCCTACTGGCCACAAATTGGGACAATCGTTTTTCACAGGCTTCTCTTAAGGTCAACACTTCATCAACTAAATCATTCGCCATAGACTAACAGATGGGAATCACCCTGTGCGAGGTCCGTACTATATGGTGGTAACCAAAATCTCGGAACTTCAATCCATTCACAATCAATGTGTGTAGTCTGGCGTTGTTGTGCTGAAACACAATTCCCCTCCTGTTGGCCAAAGCTTGCCGCTTCTATGCGATTGCTTTCTTTAAACTGTCCAATTACTGACAGTAAAGATCCGAACTAAGAGTTTGGCCATAGTGGATGGTTCCCTGCTAATCCCATCAAACAAACAGCGAAACCTACCTGGCCGGCAATCCGGTATTGGATGCCGTTTGTGCCGGCTCATTGCCCTTCCGTTTTCATGTGATCATCCATGGAGCATCTGGGTTTTCTGCCCCAGGCAATTAAATAATAAAAGAGTGTTAAATGAGTAGGGACCGAGAACGCGATTCACAACAAGTAAGTTCAATAAAGTGTTAACGGAGTGTCGGTAAATGTCATTTAAAGCCTCTCGATAAGCCGGCCTGTCTAGGAGTGCTTATATGTGCTGCTAATTGCAGTCCTTATATTCAAATACTCCCTTGACGTGCCTAGGTGATGTCTCGGCTTCAAGTCATCTCACCTTAACTCGTAGCTTAAGGTTCATGTGATGCTCTGGCGACATGAGGAATTTTTAGTGGATGGTTCCCTGCCAATCCCATCAAACAAACAGCAAAACCTACCAGGCCGGCAATCCGGTCTTGGATGCCGTTTGTGCCGGCTCATTGCCCTTCCGTTTTCACGTGATCATCCATGAAGCATCTGGGTTTTCTGCCCCAGGCAATTAAGTAAGAAAAGAGTGTTAGATGTATAGGGACCGAGAACTCGATTAACAGCAAGTAAGTTCTAGAAAGTGTTAACGGAGTGTCGGTAAATGTCATTTAAAGCCTGTCGATAAGCCGGCCTGCCTAGGAATTCTTGTTCGTGCTGTTAAATGCAGTCCTTATAGTCAAGTACTCCCTTGACGTGCCTAGGCGATGTCTCGGCTTCAAGTCATCTCACCTTAACTCGTAGCTTAAGGATCATGTGATGCTCTGGCGACATGAGCGAAATAGCTATACATAAATATCCTAGGCAAATGCCAATAACGAGCAATCATCGGCATATGAGATTCTTGAAACACTCCCCGGTGGAGGAGGGGGTTAGAGATATAGAAGTTAAGCAACAGTGCGGAGATTGAATATTTTATCTCGGAACATCACCTATGACCACTCAGGTAGCCCTTGTTAAACCTCTTCAACCCCGCTGGTAATGTTCTCAGGGGTGTTATAGAAACCGACACAGGATTGCTTATTTATCGGAATTGTAAATCAATATCTGTACGAAATGGTGTTATGAAACCAACTTGATTTTCCTTTTTCCGAAGATAACTAAAACCGAAATACAAATCAGCTGTCATCACACTTGTCCAAAAGATGCTGGGCCTTTCAATTTAAATTTTGTACTGGTGATAGCATTTTTTATGGTAGAAGAATTAGGAGGAACCATCCACAAAAGAAAGCGAAAAATTGTAAGAAATAAGAGCAATCCGCTGGAGCTACCAGCGTCGATGTAAATGCAATTTGCATTCTAAATCTTTTACATTAAATTTGTTTATATGTAGATTCATAGATCAATATCGTCTTAACAAAGAAGCATTTGTTGTAGTGCTGGATTTCATTGCAGACAAGTTATATAGGCTTTTTATCCCAGCTGTGCTCCAACTTACAGTCAAACTGTGGTTATTAGCAGAAGGTATTTTATGCGGGTCTGTGGGACTCGAATATCTCCTTAGTGCGACCTACAGTATCGGTGGTTATAACATAACAGAAATGCTAAGGGCTTTTGAAAATTTCAATAGTTCACGCTGTATAATTTTAGAAATGAACGACAGTGAAAAATGAAGAGCTCATGACCAATTTTACATTAGGTACGGTATTCCAGGCTTGGCTAGTTGTAAAATCCATTGTGAAATTTTTTTTAATTTTTCACTTGCAAAGAAATTTGCCAAAAATTCTTTCCACGAATAATGGTTCGGTTTAATTCTGACATTCAAACCGATAAATCGGTTTCTGAAAAACCTAAAATCGTCATAAATTTTATTACGATATGCAAATCAAAAATCGAAGTGTGTAGCCCCTTCAACAGAATTTTGTCAGTTTCAATTTTGATTCCGACAACAAACTGTTTCTGTAACACCCCTGAATGACTGGCGATGTGAAGGGCTTTAAAACATTCTAAAGTAACTCACGTCGAGTCAGTCAGTCAAGTTGGTCTTGTTATATACCAATTATTTTGAAACCCTTTTGTTTCTATAAGAAATTCGAATAAAAACCACTTTGTTGTAATATTAATTAATATAATTTCAGCAGCATCTTAATGGGCTTTTATTCAAAAAAAAAAAAAAAATAGCATCCAAAACAATACATGTTTAAATAATTAGCATTTTCTATTTATATATATTGTATATGTATTTATATACTTTTGCACATAGTTATTGTATGTTACACCGCAGATAAACGTATAGCCGGGATATGCATGTGTGCAAATTCACTAAATAAATACAATGTTAAGTAAAGTAAATTGTCTTTTCATTGATATTTAATTAATATATTTGCGAGTATATTTTAAATGCAACCATATGTATGTACATAACAATACATTAGTTATGCAAAAATAACGGTTAACAACTTCTTTTTTTTTTTGTCATACAAAATTCGCTGCATAAAGAAATTATAAAAAAATACCATTTCTTTTTTTTTTCTTTCTTGTATTTAATATTACTTTCATTTCATTTACAACCTAAAGCAATATTCACTTTATATTTGAAATATTTATTTAAATTTATTTTTCAATATTTTATTACTAGAATTATTACAATATTTTAATAAAAATATATTCTGAGTAATTTAGTATGGATGGCTTATGGATATCAAATACTATTTCGTGAAATTTTACAAATTAAAAATAAAGCAAATAAAATATATGCATATGTACGTACAATCGCTGTGAAGGTATAAACTTATTTAGTTTGCCCGAAGAAAAAATTATTCAATATAAAATTTGCAAAAAAAATAGAAAATATAAATACATACTAACAAACATATTGAAATACAAGAACTGTACACATGCACATAGATACATTTTCTTTCGAATTGCATATATATATATATATATGTATATGTATATATATAATTAAAATCTACATTTTTGCTTTAAAACTTAAGATTTTTTTCTAGCACTCTTTACACTTAGCATCTAGCTAATCATGTATGTATGTATATATTGTATGTATGCATTGAGGATGAATTGAATTTAATTATTATTAACTATCGTTGTTTGTCTTTAACTATTTTTACTTACATACATACATATGTACGTATACATTTGATACAGTAAATTTGCAACAAACGTTGTAGTGCTAAAATTTGCTTCCAATGTTTATATGTATCTACATAACTAGCACAAATAGTTGTTTAGAAACAAAAGAGGCACTTTTATACATACATACATACATAATACATATTTCCGTTGTCTTTTGGTTTTTACATACACGTACACATATACGTTGTCTTTTTGTTTTTAATCTAAAAAAAAAATTTTTTCTCCATAAACCACACATAATGTACATACGTGTATATGCATAATGTGTAGTACAATATGTTGTATGCGCTATGTATGTATGTATGTAGAGAGAGAGAGATATTATTAGCAACAATATACATATGTATGTATCATATAAATACAATTACTTATTTGTACTTTATACTAAATAATTAAAATTCAATTAAATTATCCAACGGTATAGCGGTGATATATTTATATACTTCAATTTTAGTGTATTTTGGTGGTGTTACTAATATTGTTGCTGTTGGTGGTGTGTGCAATGTTTTATAACGAAACGCTCTTTTAAAATTCAGCCACACATATTCCCATGTGTACATATATGTATATGTATGATATAAGTATACGCTTTTATATCGCTCAAAGCGTAGTACCATTCAGCTTGCCGAGAGTCTCACTCAATACTGTAGCTTGCGGCGCAGTTTCGGTGTACACTTTGATAATGTCATTTATTGCACTCATAGAGCCGAAAACAAGCGCTGCCACGCCACAAAATGCGATTACAATATTTTTCCATAAAATCCAATTGCCAGGACCGAAACCGGTATCCCAATGAGTGATGAGCTCAATGAATACCTGATGGAAATATGAAATGTTAAGAGAAATTAATAAAAATAAATTTTCGTCAAATAATAAATAATATATTGTTATACACATATATATGTGTGTGCTACTCACAGGGAATATAAGACCGAGCATGGAGAAGCAGAAGGCACCGATAAGGCCCATAAATGGCGCTATAGTTGGCACTGAAACGGCCAGTACAACGGCGGCAGTGACAAGGACGGTTCTGAAATGAAATAATTTGTAAAGGTATTTAATTTTGTTTTATATCATTGAAGGAAATATTTAAGAAAAAATACAGTTTCACAAACTATCATTGATGGGGACTTTCTTAAATTTTTTTTTTAATTTTTATAATAAAAAAAAACAACCAAAAATAAAATTTTGCGTTATTATATTAATATTTCTTTTTAAATTTCCGGTTCACGTTGAGTTGGTAAATGAAATGCTTAGATGAAGAGTTTTCGAACGCAAATATCATTTTTGAAAAATACTGGCCGAATCTAGTTGAACTTTTAACTTTTAACATTCTGATTATAGTAAATATGCGGTATACCAAATTTAATTTTTTGAAACTTCATAACCAATAATTTCAAATTTGATTAATGAATTGTATAGCAGCTATATATCACATGGCAATAATCCTAATAATAAGGAGACCAAAAGAATTTTTTACTTTCATAACTGCTAAGATGAAAGATTTCTGCACGAAAATGTCATTTTCGAACAACTGATTGTATGGGAGCTAAGAGCAAAAGTAGACCAATCTAAAGGAATTTTCGTGTCAACTTTCTAATTATAGTATACATTCAGATCACCAAATCTTTTCACTTTACCGTCAGTATTGAAAAAGTTATAAACAAAAATTTCATTTTTGAACAAAAAATCGTATGGGAGCTATATGCTAAAGCCGTTCGATTTTCATTATATTAACTATAAACATTTTGTTTAGCATGTGCAGAGAGAGTACAAAATTTTACATTTTTAGCTGCTTAGATGAAGGAATTATTAGCAAAAATCTAATTTTTGAAAAATTATTTGTATGGCAGCTAAGGGTTAAAGTCGCCCAATCTAAAGGAATTTTCGTGTCAACTTTCTAAATGTTTGTAAACATTCACATCACCAAATCTTTTTACTTCATCTTTATAATTGAAAAAGTTATAAACAAAAATTTCATTTTTAACAACCAGTCATATGGGAGCTATATGCTAAAGTCGTTCGATTTTTATTGTATTAGCAATAAACATTTTGTTCAGCATGTGTAGACAGAATACAAAATTCTACATTTTTAGCTGCTTAGATGAAGATATTATTAGCAAAAATCTAATTTTTGAACAATTATTTGTATGAGAGCTAAGGGCTAAAGTCGCCCAATCTAAAGGGATTTTCGTGTCAACTTTCTAATTGTAGTATATATTCAGATTACCAAATTTTATTACTTTATCTTCAGAATTGAAAAAGTTATAGATACAAATTTCATTTTTCAACAACCAGTCATATGGGAGCTATATGCTAAAGTTGTTCGATTTTCTTTATATTAACTATACATATTCCGTTAACCGTTGAGTAGACAAAATGCAAGAATTTACATGCTTTACTGTTCGAACGAAGAATTTATGAAGTAAAATCCAGTTTTTGAACAATTATTGGTATGTTAGCTCTATACACACTACATAGTCGTCAGATCCAGCTGAATTTCTCTGTGAATACTTTAATTATATTATGTATGCAGTGGAGAAAATTTTATCTATTTTCTTTCATAAATAAAAATATTCAAATATTCCAAATTTATTTTTGAAAAAAATAATGCTAATTTAATTGATTTCGATAGCTCTCAGTGCATATTTCTAAAATTTGGCATCCGTGACAGCTCAAAATGAGTTGTTTTCATAAAACATTAGTAATTTTAATAATCAGTTTGTTTGGAATAACGAACCAAATTTTCTATTGCTCTTGCCCTCAAAGAAAAATAACTCACCTCAACACATAGTTAACCAATACTGGACGTTTTTGACACTTATCCTTAATACCATCCCAGACAATCTCAAGGCACACATAAAATTGCAAACCGAAGGTACAGTACACAGCCAAAGCGATCAACACTTTGACAGCTTGCGCGGGCCTGGTAAATAAAAAACAAAACAAAAAATAAAGAACAGTTAATGTAAATAAATTACAACATTACACAAAGCAACAACTCACCATTCATGTACCGGCAAATTCAATGTAATACTCTCCGCGGTGTCTGTGCCATAATGCAAATAACCCAGGAAACCAAGCGCCATATAAATCAACGTTACACCCGACATACCCTGACTCAACACACCGCAGATGCCGAGGAAATGCTGTGGTTTCTCCATATTATTCTCCAATGGCATTACAACACCAATTGCTTCCATAGCGAAAATGGTGATGGCAAAGAAAGCTGGCAATGTTGATACATTGGCAAATTCGCGTGTTGTAATCGGTGGTAAATCACTAACCAAATAATAGAAGGTAATGCCCAAACCAAGACCCATGAAGACATTGGCTATCATTGACACAGGTGCCAAGTACTTCAGATTCGGTATCCACGAGAGTAAGATGAGTGGAATTAGAAGAGCGGAGATGAGCAGGCGCAATGAGATTTCATAGCCCAACCAATGTTCCATGACCTGCGGGAAAGATTCAGAAATGTCGTTAATATAAATTTATTTGAAATAAATGTACCTAACTTATATATATAAATAATGGAAATAATATTTCAGTGTATTGCTTTTGTCGTGTTTTAAAATTTAGATTCGACCACCAGACATTACGAACAACCACCATACCGACAGGGAGCCACAGTGATTTCATCTTTCTAAAAGAAAAAACCACACTCTGAGCCATTAAACGGATGTAGTCTTTGAGTATAGCTTTCAGTATTCACTCAAGACGTGGAGAGCTACAAGAATGCCCTAGTCAGCTTTGCATGCCTCATTGTTAAGTCTGAATACACCAAATTCTTTGCAAATACTTTATTAGTATTTTTTTTTTCAAATTTTAGAGCGATCGGCTACCATGGAGACGAGAAAACGCAAGATATAAAGTTGAGGATAGGTCATGCGAAATTCCACCACCAACGTAAACAGAAATTCACCATGTGATTCTTTTCAGGTTTCGGCGTAATTTAAAGCCAATACAAACATTCACTGAATGCCAAATTGCATATGGAACTATTTTACCGTCTTTGAAGAATATTTCTAAGCGGTTCCGAAGATTCCAGATCGGACAGTTTTCCCTAGAAAACGAGCCCCGAGAAGGTCGACCATAATTTTCCACTGATAACATCTTTATAGCTTTGGTGAGGTCCAAAATTGACGAAGACGCACGATTGGCAAAAGAAATGATTGCTAACAAATTAAGCTTGAAAGCCATGGCTGTATCGCGAATAGTGAATATTAAGTAATCATCTGCGATACACGAAGAAATCTGCTCGATGGGAGCCACGAATTTTAAATGAGGCTCCAAAAAGTCTCACGCAAATTGCCTCAATTTTTCTTAAACAAATCCGAAAATGGTCAGTCTAACAACTTTTGTAAAGTCGTTACTGGTGACGAATCTTGGTTCTTTAAGTACGAACCAAAAAACAAACAGCAGTCCATGGTATCGAGCCAACAGAAACAAACCCACCCGTAAAATCTAAGCAACAAAAATCAGCATCAAAAGTAATGATGTCAGTTTACTTCACCCGATCTAAAATCGTAGCTGCTATTGCATTGGTAAAGGGTCAGATGATAATCGCAAAATGCTGCATCGAAGGGTTCCTAAAAAAAGTTTTCAATAATTTATTAGAAAACAGGAAGAAAGTGGGTCTGCGGCGCTACTTTTTACATTATGACAACACGCCATCCCACACTGCTGAAATAACTAGTAATTTTATTGCGATCTCTGGGATCGAAGAATTACATACAGCATCATATTCCCCAGATATATAGCACCTTGTGTTTTCTGGTTATTTCCAAAAAACAAAAAAAAAATTAAAGGAAAGGTCTTTAATAGCAACGAAGAGATATTTAGTGCGGTTAATGCTGAGCTAGATAAGCTTAAAGAACAAGATTTTGAAAACTGTTTCCAGAAGTGGATCTATAGGCTTAAGAAATGCCTTGGAATCAATGGCTATTATGTAGAGAGGATAAAAATGGACCAAGATTACGAATAAATATAAAACTATTTTTTTGTTTGTTTTTTTCTTTTTTTTGCTGGTCAACCTCGTAAAGCGGCTAGTCTGAGTCCATTGTGAAGTGAGTTTGAAAAAACTAGTTCTCAGGAAAAGAGAACTTGTCTGTACAAAAAAAATCTCTTATCAAGCACAACAAAAACAGAAAATGGCAATTCGATAGAAGATCGATTCACAGTCACAATGAACACCTTCTCCATAACTCCTCCGAGAGAACTTGACTAACTAACTAATCTACGAAAGAGGTGTGATGATTAAAGAAGTATCAAGGTTTTCAAATTTGTTTGTGAGGAGTAATTTTTACGCTGATCGGTCGGGCTGCAAAAGATCTTCTGTTGAGTCGGGGAGTTATTCAGAGAGAGCCAAGTTTTTAAGACAAATATATACATCAAATGTGAATGGAATCTTTAACAACTGTCATGGACCAGCGACAGCTGCTGATGCTCTGGAAAGGAAAATAGTAATCTGATCTAGTTTGAGACAGGAATTTATGTTCTCTTGACATTTCAAGCCTACACTGATTATACCCAACCTCTCTAACACTCATTATTTAAATTCGAAATTAAAAAAAAAAAACTTTATGCCTTACCTGTTCGAAATTCTTCGCCACAATAACTGTATACACCGAACAAGTACCGAAATAGGTTAGAAAGAGTCCAAAAAGTATGGAAAACTTGGCAATTGGCGCGAAGCCACGCGCCCATTTCGGTCCACTTTGAAATGCTATTTCAGCAACTTCGGCAAAACTCATCTGTGTGCGACGTGTTTTATAGTAGAGTTTGTGAGCGCATTTCACCTGTAAGTGTTAAGCATATAAAATGTGAAAGTATGTGTTGTAATTTATTTAGTTGTATTACTTTAAAAGGAATATGCATTTTGATTTATTTTAATACAAATATACATACACACATATAATGAAAATAAATGTTTATGTTATTTTAATTTCTTTTTCATGCAATATTCATATACACGTATATATACGAGTATATAATTTAGCATTGGAACTGAAACTTTTGTATTTAGGTGTATGTAAGTTTGTAAATTTGAAAAGCTGAAATACCTACCAATACATAACTGCAGTGTGTACAAACGAAAGCTGTAAAGATGGTAGCGAAAATGCCAAGTATAATACCAGAGTACATGAAGGCGATCGGCATGGATAGAATTCCAGTGCCCAACGAGGCTTTCAGCAAATGTGTAAGTGTTTCATTATCACTGAAAGTAGAAGAAGTGAAACAAAATTGGCAATAAATTTGGAACTGTTTTTTTTTTTTTTTTTTGCATTTTCAATTTTAATTTGTTATGGTACTCACGTTGTTGGGTGTTCCACTTTGCGTGCCACGAAGGGATCGAAATCTGATGACGCCAGCGCCTGTTCGACATCTTTACGCGGCTGTATCTTGTATCTGAAACGACGAAAAAAAATATATAATAATTAAAGTTAATAATAAAATTTTAATAGTGAATTTATTTAATTTTAATAAAATTCTATAAACTTTTGTTGTTTAACTTAACTCTACTCATTTTGTTAAATGTTTCTTTTTTTTTGAGTAAAAATATAAAATAAAACAGACTGCATTGACTAAGTTTTACTTACATACGATTAACTTGTTTAGAACATAATTTTTAATTATATTTTGAAGTTTTTTTCTTATTGAAAATTTTTGGCATCACAGGGTAAAGAAATTAAAAAAAGACAGAAGAGGTTGACTTCGAAGACAGAATGTAAAGAATTTGTGTTTCTTATTCAAATTATGTTTTTAATACCTTTAAATTTGTCTTTTTTTACTAAATCAAAAATTAAAATAAAAAAAATTGTAAATTTTAATTTAGAATTTGTTAAACTATATTTTTTTAACCTATTCACACTTTGTCTTCTTTAGTTATTTTATTATTACTATTACTAAACATTAAAACAGCTAATAACATAACAGGAATTATGCAAAAAATAATGAAAGAGTATTTTCTGCAAGTTAGCACGAGTATTATGGAAAAATATTTTAAAAGAAAAATTGTTATATGATTGAGAACAAGGCAAATTTACACACGGTAGTAGCAAGAACACAAGAACCAAAAATTCCGTGTATTTTGTTTGTGTAGTCATAGTTTCGTAAAGTCCAAAACTTATTTCTCATGTATTTTGTTTGTGTATTTTCTATTATACGAGGAGGAACAAGCAATCGTATGATCTGACAACTACACCTTCTTTAAATTCGCCTTAATTAAAAATTGGAATTTTTTAACAAATTCATTGAGAATTTTTGTTTGGGGAAAAAATGTCAGTAATACACTTGGAGGGCTTATTATTTCTCGCCGAAGGCGATCATAAGGAGAAAAATTAATTTTTTATGCTTTTAAAAGTTGGTCCGACCTACACAACTTTAATGTGTCTTATTTAATGTTTTGTTAATTTTGTTTGGTATAGTTTTTTTATTTCATTTTATTTTAGTTCTAATTTTATTTTAAATTTTTTATTTTATTTTTTTATGTTTAATTTCATTTCATTTATTTAGTTTAATTTAGTCATGTTATTAAATATAACCTTATTTTTTATTTGTTTGAATTTTATATGATTTATCTGATTTAACTTAATTTTATTTTGTTTTATTGTCATTTTATTTTAATTTAATTTATTTTATTTCTTACATATATTTTATTTTAGATTATTTTATTTTTTTAAATTTTATTTAATTTGTTATATTTTTTACTTTATTTCATTTTTTAATTTATTTCGTTTTATTTAAATGTATTTAATTTAATTTAGTTTCATTTTATTTAATATTTATTTACTTAATATTACTTTATTTTTTAATTATTTTATGTGATTTATCTGATTTAATTTAATTTGATTTTATTTTGTTTCTTGTCATTTTATTTTAATTTTATTTTAGTTCAATTGTTTTATTTTAATCTGTTTTATATTATTTTATTTTAGATAAATTTATTTAATTTTTTTTATTTTATTAAGTTTATATTTCTTTATTTTTAACTTTATTTTATTTTTTTTTTCAATTTCGTCTTATTTAAATTTATTTAATTTATTTAGTTTCATTTTATTTAATATTTATTTACTTAATATTACTTTATTTTTTAATTATTTTATGTGATTTATTCGATTTAATTTAAATTTACTTTATTTCATATTATTTTTTTTCAGTTTGCCTTGTTATATTTTATTTTATTTTGTTTAAATTTTATTTTATTTCAATTTATTTTGTTTCACTTTTTTGTATGTTATTTTATTATATTTAATTTTTATTTTATTTTATTTTATTTTATTTTATTTTATTTTATTTTATTTTATTTTATTTTATTTTATTTTATTTTATTTTATTTTATTTTATTTTATTTTATTTCATTTCTTTTTTTTTCTTTTTATTTAATTTAATTTAATTAATTTTTTGTCTTTTATTTATTTCATTTTATCTCATTTTAATTATTTTTGGTTTTTTCTTTACATTATTTTATTTTGTTTTATTCCATTTTATTTTCTTTTTTATGAACTATTTTAAATCTCTCATTTCCTTTTTTATCCAAAGTGCTGATGTGGGTATTTTTTTTTTTTTTTGAAATAATTAGGCCAGTCGAATTTTTCACAATTTTAATATTTGCTAAGCCAATTGTATTTTTCACCAATACCACAATTTTATAGAACTTTTCAAAGCAGACACCTTTGTTCCAATGTCGACATCTCAGCGGATTTTCTGTCGCACATAGTTTTCCGTTACTCCAACAGGTATAGTTCCGTTTGGCCAATATAAACGAGTATTAAAACCGAAAACCAACGTTCAGTTGCACCACAATCAATCATCAACGAAGAAGCATAATAAATAACTAAAAAACAATGCACTCCGCGCCAATGTTTTATAGTGAAATTCTGTAGCGGCCGTTTTGGGCTTTGGCTTTCTTGCTGTTGTATTGTTTTTGCGGCTGCGGTTGCGACTGCGGCTACGACTTTTAAGAAATGTGCAACATCTGCAGAAAAAAAATTCGCGCTAATCACAATCACGCTCAACAACTGCCGGACGATGTTGACGTTGTCGAATCGCAGTGGGCCATTAACGCCAAAGACAGACGAGCCGCCGATGTGGGGCGGGTGTAGTCAGCTCGCAGCAAGTAGTGAGGCGGACAATAGCTTCAGCTTGGATTCGTCGTATATGGTCGAATTCCGTAGACGTTGATGATAATGATACACATTATGGCTGTAGGTATGCATGTATGTATGTATATATGTATGGACGAACTGATTGACGCGCGGGAAAGTGAATTTGAGCTGCGGCGGGCAAAAACGAAATTAAATAAAATGAGGAGAGTAACATAAAACGTAAGTAAATGCTTTGAATTCGATTCTAGCGGTCGCTGAATCGTTAATTGAAGAGTTTGCATTCCACCATAAAACATAATTGAATGTTGTTACTGTAGTTGTTGCTTATTGGCCTCTTACTCGGCTTGCTGTGCGCATTACATCAGCCGCTTTATGGCATATCGACTGATACTCGTACATCTTCCAGCTTAGCTGTGCAACAAATCAGCAGAAAACAATTAAATTCTTACGATAGATGTGTCTTTTAAGTGTGTTTGTGCGCCTTAAAATGAATGTGACAATATCATTATGAGCTTCACAAATGAGCATACTTTTAGGAGCAATTGCAGTACAGTACACTGACGTCGGTGAAATTGAATATTGATGAAGTAAATGTCAAAGAACATGGACAAATTAATATTTCAAATATTACTGAGTGAGGTTAGGTTATCACTGGATCATTTTTTCATGAAAAAAATGAACTTTTTTATGAGATATGCAAGAAATAAGTATATAAAATCTTGGGAACTTACAAAAAAATTTTATAAAAATAGTTAGAAGAATATTATATATTTTCTGATGGTTTTTACGGTACTCGTGCAAACTATTCTAAGAACTAAAATTTCGAAAACTTTAAATTATGTCTCTTTGCTATATTACTGTCATATTCCAGCTTAATTGTGAGACATAACACTAAAAACATCATAATTAATAAAATCAACTCTCTCGAACTTGTTTCAAGAAGACCGAGCTCATTTTCTGATATTTTTCCCCAACAAATGAGCAGTTTGTTTTAGGTCCCTACCGAACGGCCGAGGTTTTCTTTACGAGAAGCTTTTGATTTTCCTACCAGAAATACGAAAATCGTATACTCGGAGGGGTTGGCATTCGCTGCTGAGTGACAACCGCAATTAGAAAAAATAATTTTTCTATAATTTTGCATGTTTTACCAAACCAAGGCGCGAACACTGACCTTCCGAATGTTAGTACGAAAAGCTTTCCACTCTAAATTTAAGCTAACGATATTTTGCAGTTGCCCCACTTCACTTCAAATAGGTATTTAGGTAGGAGTGACTGACCGAAGAGTTCAGACTCCAAGACTGCGAACTCGTTGTATTATTATGTATTGTATTAGGGGAGTACTTAAAACCACGCAAAATAATGTTGTCCGTGGTCGTCCCGATATTCTATCACTCAACCTAATGTTATATACTACACCATCCGACAAGAATTTAGACCCACAAAAAAATCAAACATTTTTCTTAAACTAGGACCCAAAAAAGGAATACCCGTGTCTGAACGTTTTTATAGAGCAAGTCGTTTGTGGTTTTTAGGGGTGAAAACAAGCCCTAAATTTAAAGTTGGTAAGATCTTTTTTAAAAAATAGTTTATAGAAACTGGTATCTAGGGATATATTGTATTTGGGGTCGCTGATTATGAATCTCATGTCAGATTTTTAAAGTTCAAAATTAAATGCATTAAATTAAAAGAAAAAAATTAATTTTAAATGAATATGCTAAAAGACATTGAAAAAATCTTTAAAATAATAATTGCCTGAAGCGATTTTCGGCCGAGTCCTTCTCCAATTTCTTGGTTTTGCGTCTTGATGTTTTTTCCAACAAATTTAGTTTATACTAAGCCACCTCCAAGAGTCTGATGTTTTTTTTTATGAGGAGCTTTTGGTTTCATGTCACAAATACACTTGGAGGGGTTGACATTCCCCCCTGCCGAGGGGCGACCGCAATTAAATACTTTAGCTTAATTTTCTATTTAAATTAATTTTCTCTAACTTTTTGGATGTCTCGGCTAACATAGCTACCGCGGTCACCAAGAATTTTATTATTAATAAAAAATAATAAAAAAAAAATACTTAAAAATAAAAATTTCACAGGTTTGTTAGTAGGAATTGATATTGTTAAGATGAAAAAAATATTAGTTTTTTTATAAAGTGTTCTCGATGAAAATTTAAAATAAACATAATATACATTTATTCGAACTTAAAAATTTTGAGAACCTGAGCCAATTCAGAAAAACTGTGTTTTAAATTCTATATAAAAATTTCGTATTAATGCTATAATTATAGTTTAGCTTGGCAAATTTAGGTAATATTTTACAAAAAAAGGTTGGGAAATTATTAAAAAAATTAATATATGAGATATTAAAAGTTCTGATATGCAATTGTATGTGTGTATGTATAGTATGTTTCAACAAACTCATTATTCTTATTCAAATTGAACGCATTCGACTTTTGTTTTTGACAAATAACTGTACACAAACATACGTAAATATATGTATACATATATATATATATATACATATATGTACTCGCATATTTGTTTGCCTACATTTGTAAACACATTTGCGAAAAACAATTTGCATTGCCAATGTTTGTACAATATTACTAAGATAATAATAGTAGAGAGCACTCAGTTCAGTCATCACATCGTCTGTATTTCAAATATTACATCAGTCATTGTTGCTTCCATAAATAATTATTTCAATTATTATAGTTGAAGGTATTGAATTCATCATATAAATATGCATACATATATCACCTGCAAATAGATGGTGTATATACATACATATGTATATGGTACAAACATAGCTATTAATTAACTGTATATTACGTACACTATATATATAGTATTGAATATTAGTGGCGGCCGCGGTAGCCGAGTGGTTAGCATTGCGTACTACCATTCGGAAGACTCGGGTTTAAATCCTGTTGTCGTATTAACATTCAAAAATTTTGAGAAACTTAATTTGAATAATAAATTAAATTAAATTTTCTAATTGCGTTCGCCCCTCAGCAGGGAATATCAACCCCTCCGAGTGTATTTCTGACATGAAATAAAGCTCCTTATTAAGAACCCATTAGCCGTGCGTAGACGGCTCAGTATAATATAAACTTTAGGTCCCTCCATTTTTTTTAAATAAAAAACATGAGGACGCAAAACCATAAATTGGAGTAGAAGCTCGGCCGAAAATCGCTTCAGCGGTTACAAAGCGCCAATTATATACATATATATAAAATAGTGTATGAAACAGATATTTTACGCATTTTATATTTAGTGTTAAAGCTCACATAATCTATATACAAGCATGAAGTACATAGGTATAAGTTATTTTTTTGTGGTTTGCAAAAGCCACAGGCTTGTGCCCTGAATAAGTTCTAAACATATTATTGATAGGCTTTAGACATTTATTTTTCACGCCATGAAAAAAAGGGCAGCTTTATCGAGTATGTAAAAATAAATAAAATAAAATAAATAAAAAATATATATATATTTTTGTTTTTTTTTTTAAAGAAAACAAAAATGTTAGCTCTGCAATTAAACACGTTCATATTTTAAATAATGTTTTTTTTTCATAATTAATTTTAATATTTTTATTTTATTTGCTCTTTAAACTTTAGCTTATATACATTGGTATATGGAAATATTTTTTTAGTACTTTTTATATTACTTATATACTTATTTATATTTTTTCTCTGTTTTAATTACAATCTTTTTTATTTGCTGTTACTTTATTTTGACAAGTCTAACCTTAAAACAAACATTGCTATACTATACTGGAAAAAATGGGCAAGCACAGCAAAACTACTTTTTAATTATTTTTATATTTACGTAAGTACAAAACAAAATTTTAGTACAAAACATACGTACGTACGTCAGCATTTCACTATCTAGTATTTATTTTTATTATTATTTTTTTCTAGTGCACTTTGGCATAGCCATGAAAATATTATTGTTTATTTATTAATATGATTATATTATATATGTATATATGTAATATGAATACAAGTGCATGTATAAATAAAAAGTATGAAATATGAAAATTGATTACAAAAGTTTTATTGCTGTAATGGCTTTATTATTCAAATTATTTTTAACTATAAAATTTACTAAATAATTTAACTAAACATTTTTCCCCCTTATATAATTGCTTATAAGAATTTTTTTTTGGTGAAATAAGAAAATTTAAATTTTTAAAATGTATTCCAAAAAGTTAAAATTGCCTATGTTTCTTCAAATATGTACACATATAAATATATATACATGTGGGTAAAAAAAAAATTTTTTTATAATTTTATACAAATATTTTTCTTTATTATAGTTTTCAAAAATTACCTTAAATTAAATTTTTGTAATTATAAAACCTCATATAGTGTACACAAATATGAGGAAATCACTTGTACATTAACGATTTTATTGTTGAAATTCAAATAACTTTTGTATATGTATGTGCATATATTGGAGTACATAAAGAGAAAAAAAGTAACAAAAAGAAAATACCATTAACTCTATCAGCAGCAAATGACATTTCATGACATGAAAGCAAAATGCCAGCACAACCATATAAAGCTCATACATTTATACATACATACATGTATCTAATACAGCACATATATGCACATGTATGTTAGTATGTACATATGTACGAGCAAAACAATTGCGTGTTGGGCCGGCAATTCTAAAAAGCATTTTGCCGCGCAATTTTTCATTTTGTTCGCAACACCAATTAAAAAAATATTGCAGTGTGTAGGAATCGCATTAAAAACAATCCGATTCATGAAATAATAACAATTAAAGAGCAAAAAAAAATTAGAAAAAATTGAAATAAATGCAAATTGAAATAAATCAACACCGAGAGAGAATACTTTCAATTGTGTTAATAAAGTTAATTTTTGTCAAATTGTTGTTTACATATTACACATGCATACATTTGTACACATATAATATGTATGCACATATCTTATGAATGTTATGCCTCAATTATGTAATTAAATCAATGAAATAAAATTAACTTACTTGTTATTACTAATACCATCGCCGGGCAGAAATTGTTCCATTTCTTGTGGTGCATGTTTGCCACCGCTGTCCTGTAGGTTTGAAGTAGTTATAGGAAAAAACAATAACAATTATTATTTGTTGAGTTTTCACAAATTTGTGTGTAAATTTAAAAAAAATTATTTAAATATATATACAATAATTATAGAAAAAAAGTAATAAAAAATTAAATAAAGAAACATAAAAAAAACTACGTCAATGTATAATAAAATATAATAAAATAAAACTAAGTAAAATATAATAAAAAATAAAGTTAAATGTAAAATTAAATACTGTAATTAAGATATATTCAAATAAAATTACAAAATTAAATTAAATTAAATATGAAATAAAATCGCAAAATGAAATAAAATAAATAAAAAAATTAATTACATGAAATCAAATAAACTCAAATAAAATAAAATAAAATTATACAAGAGAAAATAATTTAGTATAACATAAAATAAACTGAAATGAAATAAAATTTAATTAAATTAACTAATTTAAATTAAATTAATTAAAATAATTAAAATAAAATAAAATAAGATTTAACAAAAAAAATAATTTAAATTAAGTAGAAGAAAACAGAATAAAGCGAAATTAAATTAAATTAAATAAATAAAATAATGTGATATAACATTTAAACAAATAAAATTTAAAAAAAAACAACAAAAATCAAAATAAAGTCAATTACAATAAATAAAAGTAAAATAAAATAGAATAAAATATCAAATTAAACAAATTGAAACAAAAATTAAAATAAATTGAAATAAAACAAAATAAAATAAAATAGGTTAAAATATAAAACAACTAAAAAAAAGAAATAAAAATTAAATACTTTAATTAAATTGTAATAGAAATATAATAAAAGCGAAATAAAAAAATAAATCAAAATAAATTAAATAAAAAAAAAACTAATAAAAATTAACTGGAAAAAAATAAGCTGAAATAAAACAAACTTAAATTAAATTATATATAAACTAAACCGAAATAAGATAAAATAAAATAAAACCATTTAAAATAAATTAAAGTAAAATTAAATTAAGGGAACAAAATAAATTTTAACAATATAAAATAAATAAAAAACAAAATAGAGTAAAACAAAATAAAGCAAAATATAATCAAATTAAATTAAATAAGATAATTACAATAAAATGAAGTAAAATTTAAAATTACATTAAAATAATATAAAAAATAGAAGAAAATATAAAATAAAACAAAAATTAATTTAAAATAAAATAAATTGAAATAAAATAAAAAAACTGAAATAAAACAAAATAAAATAAAGTAAAATAAAATAATAAAACGAAGTATACATGAATTAAATTAAATTATATAAATAAAATTAAATTGAACAAAATTTAGTAAAATGAATTAAAATAAAAATAAAATTAATTTTATTAAATACAATAAAATAAAGTAAAATTAAAAATTAAATTAAAGTAAAATTAAATGAGATAGAATAAAACTTAAACTAAAATAATATTATATAAATTTTATTAAATTATATTAAAATAGTTTAAATAAAATAAAACAAAATAAAAATAAATACAGTAATATAAATTCGAATTAAACAAAATTAAACGAAATTAAATTAAAGAAAACAAAAATCAACTTAATTAAAAATTAATCATAATACAATATAAGTATAAATAACTATAATATAATACCATAAAAAATAAAATAAATCAATAAAAAATAGTAAAAAATAACAAAAATCAAAATAAAATGTAGTAAATTTAAATTTAGTTAAATAAATTTAAATAACTAAAATGAAATGAAATGATTGCAAATAAATATTTAAAAAATTATTAATTTAATTTAATACATTTAAATAAACAAAATTAACGAAAAATAATTGAAATTCAAACGATAGAAATAGTTATAATTAAAAAAATTAAAAAAATAATAGGACAACTCACCCCTATGTTAACCATTTTGTTATTGTGTTCTTGTTTCACTCAAAACTCACACAAAACCAGTCTTAATTCGATAATGTGAATAGCCTCTCAGTAGCAATTACGACTAATGAGCTCACTTCACGTTTCTGCAATTGAAAGAAATTGAAAATCGAAATTATTCACAAAATTCAATTACAATGATATTTTTGTGCATAAATATTTGTATAAATGTGTGCATATACGTATGGTGAGTAATACATATTTATTTGTTCTACGAAAGAACAAGTTTAGTATAGAAAGTTAAAAGAAAGTCGCTTGCAAACATATTTTAACAAACTATACTTTTGAAACAAAAAAAAATTTTAAAAATTTTTGTATTGCACTTCATATTTGTAGAACCACAAAACTCATTAAAAAAATTATGTTTTTTTATTCTTTATATGTATAAAAACCTGGCATCACACGTGAATCATGAATGAGTTAAAGCAAAATGTACATACGCTGAATTGAATCTCTGCATTGGAAAGAAATGAATGCTTATTACAGCTATTTACATTTGTATACATAAATTAGTTTTCACAATATATAATATATTGCCTACTAGGCTAATGGATGTAATTCAAATATTTTAATTGTGACGACAGCTGACTTTTCCCTAACTACTTTTTTTTTATAGTGTAACGCAATACCACACCCGTTTTTATTGGCATCTCCTTAACTCTAGGTGATTTTTTTTTTGGCACTAATTAACTATAATAAATTAAAATTAGGTTATATAAGTCGTAATTTGTATTATTTAAAAATTTTGCTTACAATAAATTTCATTCGATTTGTGCATAAAATTGTCTTACGACGTAAATTCTGTTTAAATATATGTAAACACACCCGACTGTTAAGAGAATGCAAAATAGATTTCGCCGCTACATTAGAGATGCCAATTTACGTAGTATTTTATAGGAGCGGAGGTACTAGAGTAAATTTTGCTAAGCGTCTCTGTTATGGCAATAACCTCACACTGTGTTATTGCTCTCACTGAGAAATTCGATTTAACGAGTATAAGCCTTAGGCAAAAAAACTCTCTTACGATTAAATATTGTATTAGAAAACGCAAAATATTAACCGAAGAATATTACAAAGCCACACATTACTTTTCTGAATCTCTAACTAAACATTTTTTTTTTTTATAAAACTGAACTAACAAATACGTGTTCCGTATTTCACCGAACTTTGAACAGAAAAATCTAAATCGTGCGCCTAATCTTCCTGAAATTGTTTAGAATGGAGAACTCTGAACTCTACAAAAACTGTAATTGGCGATTGAGTCTTTGATAATCACCCGGAATCTAGTGTTATCTCCGATACTTTACATTACGCTTTAAGGTATGCCTTACAATTGTTACATGGTGAAAAATTCCCATGGAAAAATACCCTTATCACTTTGTACGTGAAGTTCACGAGGTAGCTGACATTAAGTCATAATTTTAAAATAGTTTTATTTTGTATTCATAAAAATTTACATTATCAGTACAATGTACATATGTATGTATATTTAATAATCACTATAAAAGAAGCGGAAATAATGAGCGTGAATTAAATTTTAAACAAATTTTTATATTTATTACATTTTATTATTATTATAACATAATAGCAATTTTTAATATATATATATCATATATATTTTAATTAAAGATTTTTCTTAAACAGTTTTTAAAACTATTTTGTTTGTTAGGTAATTTATAATAAATAAGTCCATGACTTCAAAATTAATAATAAAAAAGTAATACAATATTGATTGAAAAAATACTCATATCGCCGACTTTCACCAAAAAAAAAAAACACACTGTGATGAAATTCAATCCAAAAAATGTGCGACATGGCAGAAAAAAAATTACTTCAAAAAATTTTAATTGAAATATTTATTTATTGAATCACTATCACATTACGTGCCGGTTGACTTGCTGCAAAAAAAACAAGTTTTTGCCTTTATAAATACACATTAAAATTTATAAAAAAAAAATAATAATTTAAAAATTGCTAAATCATTATCAAGTCATTTATCTCTTTCTTCGAAATCTTGCTTTTTTTGCACACTTGTCATTCTCTCTTATTTTATTTTGCCAAAATTCTGTATTGTTATTATTATTCAAAACTCATTTAAAAAGACTTAAACATATAAACATAAACGACAATTTTGTATTGTGAAAGTCGATTGCACGTGTATTTAAGTGCAAATGTACTTCATTTAGGTGTAGAAAAATTCTCTTCATTTTAATTCAGTCAATTTAACTATATTTTTTATCTCATTATTCTTTATTTTATTTTAGCTTATTTTAGTTTATTTTATTTTTAGTTTATTTTATTTTATTTTTGGACAATTTATTTAACTTTACTATTGTTTATTTTATTAATTTTTTAGTATATTTTATTTTAATTTAATTTTATTTTATTTTATTTTATTTTATTTTATTTTATTTTATTTTATTTTATTTTATTTTATTTTATTTTATTTTATTCTTTTTTTTAGTTTAGTTTAGTTTATTTCGCTTTACTTTAGTTTGTTTTATTTAAGGTTTATTTATGTATATATAAATAATTTATTTTAATTTTATTATTTTTCGGTGTTACATAGTTTGATGCTCATCCTTATACTAAAAAGATGTTCAACGTGCGCCACAAATTAATGACCCGAATTCTTTATAATTTATTAACATATTTGAGAAAATTTAACTATTAGCAGTTTAACAAAAAACCATACCTTTCTGATTAATAAAGTCGATAGTTAAGTTCAAGAAACTCTAAAAACTTGTTTCACAAGCATAATAAGGAAATATAATACACATAATATGTCAAACATAAATATGTATAATATATGCTGCTATCGGCACCAGTACATGCTATAAATACCTTTTGTTTAATTTAAATTTCGTCTCTGACTAATAGACCCGCCACCCGTAAGGAATTCCTTTGATTATACCGCCTGACTTTGGCGTAATAAAAAATTAGCAAAAAAAGAAAACAGCAGTTATAAGCATACATACGAACATACATTCAAAAGTTTTATTAGGTGCCAAAAGCTATAGGGAAAAAGGCAGGTACTTCGAACGTGCCACTTCATTCATGAATATAAAACTATTATAAAATTTAATTCATTTCCACATACATATATATGTATGTACATATATGATATGATATTTCTAAATGATTTACAGTAGCAAATGTTAATAACAATAAAGCTTGAGATTTATAACTGAATAACACTGTTATCATTTAGTTGCGTTGTAGTGCGCTAAGATCAAGGTTGCTATTTATCTAATCGAATATATGGAGTGCCACTCTTAGATAAACAACAGCTACCGAGCAATCATTAAAATTTAATGTGTTCTTAATTACTGATTAGATTAGGAAAGACCTTTTCGAACGCCCACATCATATTTATTATCATCATTATTCACAAATAAGTCTTATCGCATGACGATGCTCCACTGTTACGTCTTCATCAAGTGGTCAAGAAATGCACTGTAATGCATGCACACATTTATAGTATACTGTTATCTATTAAAAGTAAACACCTTGTGAAAATCAGTGATAGCTCTGAAGGGTTTTCTCTGAGAGTACAAAATGCAAGAGGAAAATGAAAGAATGTAATTTTGGGAAACTTAATTATATAAATTTTTATTTTACTTTATTTTAATTTACTTATGTTGTGTTATTTTATATTATTTATTTAATTTAATTTTTTAATTTAATACTACTTTATTCAATTTAATTTTGCTTTATTAAATTTTGTTTTGGTTTAATTTATATTATTTTCCAATATTTTATTTTACTCTGTTTTGATTTGTTATACTTTATTTTATTTTACTTTATTTTATTTTTTGTTTTTTTTTTTTTCTCTTATCTTTTTTTACTTAATAATATCTCATTTCATTTTATTTTATTTTATTTTATTTTATTTTATTTTATTTTATTTTATTTTATTTTATTTTATTTTATTTTATTTTATTTTATTTTATTTTATTTTATTTTATTTTATTTTATTTTATTTTATTTTATTTTATTTTATTTTATTTTATTTTATTGTTTTTTTTAATGTATTTATTTTATATTATTTTTTTTATTTTATTTTAACTCATTTAATATAATTTAATTTGATGTTATTATATTTTTTGTTTTTTTCTTTTATTTTTTTATTTAATTATATCTCATTTTATCTTTTTTTTTTTATTTTTTTTTTACGTAAGTTTTTTAATTTTATTTAAGTTTAGTTTATTTATTTTGTATTTTTTGCAGTATAATATATTATACCATGAAATATTATATTATATTACAATACATTTTATTAAATATTAATATTGTATATTATATTTTAATTTTTTATACTATTTTATTTTATGTCTTATTTAATTTTTATTTCATTTAAAATTTTTTTTTTTGACAATTTGGCAACAATCCAATTCGATGTCAATGTTACACCTTTACCAGCATTAAAATACTTATATATAATGTAAAAAATGCAATGCATATAAGTCTTTATATACTTGTGCTCATAAAATTCTTGGCAAAGCTCGAGAATATTGCGTATCTAATTTTAACCGTAAAACTATATTACAGCATCGCATTTGAAAATGTTTTTAGTTTGACCGAAAGTACTTCAAACATACATAGGTGTCTATGTAGACTAAACTATATTAATTAATTTTTTTTGTACTCAACATTTATATATAGAAAGTTAACATGAATTCCATCATGTAAGTAAATAAACAACTGATAATATCGATAAAAATCAAATTCAAAGAGTCTGTGCTCAGATCACATGTTTTTTTCTCGTTAGATACTCTCTCTAAAGCGCAGAAATACAGTTAGATTAACATTTATTACGGTTTTTGGGTTTTTTTGACAAATGTCTCTAATTGAGGTTTACACATCATTCGTGTTTTTCAAATCTGTTCGATTGGCAGTTGGCATGTTTCTCGTTACATAATACTATATTCTTGTATGCCCAATGAAAGCTTGTCAAAGGATTTAATATTTAATTTATATTTTATTTATAGCTCTAAATTTAAGAAACTATTAATAAATGAAATTTTTTATAAATTTAACATTTTAATTAATTAATTCATTAAACTTAGGTTTCCATTTTACTCGT